TAGGCTCTCGAGGGAACAAGGGTTTGGAAGCAGTGTTTCTAATTTTCCATTCTCAGAAGCAGGGTTGATCTGAAAGACCTGCTTTCTCGCAGGCTCCTCCTGGCGGCCAATCAACCGCAAAAGGCGCTCTACCTCGGCGTCTGGATTTGATGGCCACAGTAGTAGATGATCTCCAGTGGCATACTTCAGATTCCGATGATGGGAAATGTCGATCTCCAGTTGCAGACAGGGCTTCCGTGACTGTGGGTTCAGAATTCGACTATTGGTGAATCTCAATTCGAAAGGAGCAGAGCTGGGCAGCCGCTGCAGACCCATGCCGGTCCTTGACCTCACATAGTAGGGTTCTCCGAATGCAGTAGAAGTAGATTCTGGCTGCTCGACTGGGGAGAGGAGAAATGAAGGCTCATATACTACTGGGTGCTCCTGATAGGCAAACTGTGCCCGCAAAGCATCGACGGTCTCATCTTGCCAGCGAAGAAACGTTTCTTCAGTCGAGCCGTTGGCCGCATCCCCATATCCAACACTACCAATACGTATCGCTCCCTTGTCTGCGAGGGACTCCGATACCCATGTGACGGTACGATTGAAGTGTTGGTAGGCGCTGCTCCCCAGACCAAACGCGGCATAGTGAAGATCCTTCAGTGTGGTCTGTGACTGTGACAACCATCGACAGAACGTCACCGCATTGTCGGTTGGATCACCCTCACCATACGTCGACAACAAGAACACCACGGGTCTATCAGATGGTATGGAAGTGATTGATTTTGGAGAAATATCGGCTAGGTCTAGTACGCCAGTATGTAATCGTAGACGCTGCCGGAGAGTCCGCGCGAGTGTGTGGGCGAGGCCTTCGGCAGTGCCTGTCTGTGAGCCCCAAAGCACAACGATGTCGTATTCTTCTTTTTTTATGCGTAGGCTGATGTCTGCATTTTCCTCTCTGGCCTGTCGCTTTCGGCCCAGAACCGTTTGCTGCCGACGTTCGAATAGCTGCTTCTCGAGCGGGTCGGCTTTGTACCAATATCTTTGACCACAGAGGTAACCCAGCCCCAGAATTGGGAGGAGGAGGAAAGCCAGGATATCGTCAATGTCGAGGGCTAGAATGACAGATTGCATGTTGTCTGTTTTCCAGTTACTCAGCGTACATCCGATAATTGTAAACCTGGCAGGGAACTACTTCTGCTGGCCAATATATTTCTGGAGCAGTGACCTGGGCATTGACGCCTTACCACATGGGACATGCCCGGTGCTTCCAAAACCGTATCGGGTGCTACACCGAGACAGATGGATTTAAGAATGACCATCCACAAGCAGACACATTTCTCTGTATCTACATCAGTGTTCCATTGATCCTATCAGGTTTCATATCATATAGTCCCGGACAATCACAATGCCACCTTTCAAGCCGCGTCATGTCTCAGCAGGGACAGATACTATCCAAAGGTATATCACAAGAAATCTGGGGCACAGTTCTAACACTAAAGCCGCTTAGCTTTGGGGGAATTTTGACCACTGAATTCCTGGAGCCTCCACCAGGTAGAGGGTTCTGTTTCCGCCAGACTTACCGAGCGAATCTGGACGGTCCTGTTGATGAGAAAATCCAGCGAGTCATTGACAGCAATGCCAAACCCTCCGGACCTCCGCCGCATCTCCACCGGTATCAGACCGAGTACTTCAAGGTGGAACAAGGTCTAATGGGGGTGAACATTAATGGAACCATCTACAAGAAAACGCCGGCAGATCCAGAGTTCAGTGTACCAGCCAACGAATTCCACGGCTTTTTCCGTCATCCAGACAGCGAAGGACCCATGACGGTAGTGCTGAGTGCCTCGGACTCCGGACGGGAGGAGAAGCTGGACAGGATATTCTTTGAAAACTGGTATGGCTACTGGCATGATGCGACGATTCATCACGGAGGGATGAACTACATCCAGTGGTTGCAGGTATAGTCCGCTCCAAACGAACATGCCTCGGATTTAGATGGTTAATGCTGGCAGATCTACGACGCTGGCGACGCATACCCGTATATGCCTACCTGGATCCCCTTTCGCAAAACCGTCGCGTACTGCTGGGGGGTTGCCGTAGGCAGATGGCTCGGAGGAATGCTCGGTTATTGCCCTTTCTTCGCGGAATATACGACCGACTGGGATCAAGCTGTAGCCAAAATGGAGACTCACTTCTGGCAACGACGGCGATTGCGACGTGAGGGGCTTCTCGGAAAGGGTAAGGACCTTAGGGCTAGTGTTAGTAGTTCTGAGGGGGGTTATTAGGAGTTCTGCTATATATTTTGGCCGAGGCTGTACGTAATTGAACTATCAACTGAGCCTGTTCTTATAGTTAGGAATTAGGTTCCCATCAGACTTGATTCTGACTTGACATTCTGGTACTCTTTCCTTTCTCCGGGCATCGAGCTCCATCCCGTTTACCCAATCGAGTAGCTTCGGATGGTCTGCGACACAGTCTTAAGTCTACGATGATCAGAATCGAGTGGTCATACACCTTACAGCAGAGCGAAGTGATTCTATGGGAACATCTCAGCTTGCAATAGTCATTATAATCAAAAGAAAACTTTGCTAGAGATGATTTTCCAACTATAAATTCCCCCTTTACTACACTCAAGAGACGTGTAATCGCCACAAAACTATCACCAAACACGCTCTAGCTCAGCCTCGTATTTAATTCCAGCCAGGAGCTTCGCCTGATCCACCCATTCGAGCACCCGCGATGATCCCTTCTCACCCACAATCACTGCATCTGAAGGATGGGATCCTCGATCACGAATTACGGTGGCAATCACATCAGCCTGGTACCGCAGTCCCCAACCGACAACTGGTTTGGTGATGACTTCTGTCGTTTCAAACCCGTTATCATCTAGCTTATCTGGTCCGTAATACTGCACGGTGAGTGTCTCGGGTCGGATAGGAGGGAACGGCAACGCAATTTCGCCCTTTTCGCCTTGGATCCTCACACACGGGGCGTTTTTCTCCCGCAGAAGCTTGTCCTTCAACCCCAGTTTTGCAGAACCCGGGATGGAGGACGAGATAGTTACCACACAAGTCGTTGGGCTCTGTCCTGAGCGCGACAGAATGATTGTCGTAATGTCGTCTAGTGGGTCACTGACGCCGGTCTCATGCTGGATTGTTTCCGCATATTTGACCGTCACAGGCTGATCGTCTTCGCCCTCTTCGCCGTCCGCAGAAGAGAGAGCCAAATCGCACCAAGTAAGTGGATATACACCGAGGTCTAATAGCGACCCGGAGCCGGTTTTCTTGTCCAGGAAGCGCGAGTTTGCAGTTAAAGTGGGATCTCCAAACAGCGGGAGCGAGTAGTCGGCCAGGATGCGCTTCACGGGCCCAATCCGTGAAAGTAGTTCTTCCTGCAGGTACCGGGTAAGTGGGAAGTATCTTGTCCACATCGCTTCCATGAAGACGACTTTGTTGCTTTTGGCAATCTCCGCCAGACGATTGTACTGGGCCTTGTTCATTGTCGCGGGCTTTTCGAGGAGAACATTGCGGCCGTGGGTGAGGGCTGCGCGGGCATGCTCAAAGTGTACACCATGAGGCGTCGATATATACACCACGTCAAAGTCCCCTTCGCGGAGCATGTCTGCGTATGAGGTGTATATGCGCACGGTAGAGGCATTGGGCGCTTGTTGCTCCGCCAGCCAGCTTGCGGCCGCTTCGGTGGATCGCGTGGTTGAGACAGCCACCAGCTGGTGCTGTAGATGTTTCTCTTCGTCTCTGGGGAGAGTGAGGTCCCTGTAAAAGAGCTCGGCGATGCTAGAAAGTCCCAGGAATGCCCATCGGCAGTGGAAGGGTGGCTCAATTGACTGATTCATCATTTCCAGAAAGCTGCACAGTTCCGAATACCGTCATGGTAAGACCAGCTCGGAGTCGATTGGCAAGTTGGCCGGTATTTCAAGTCACTCGAATCCAAATCACCATCTCGGATCAAATCAACGCAGGTAAAACCGGCTCCCTTGATTGGTCCATCCGATGATGGAAATGCCTCTCTATTCTATCGGGACACTTGCTGTATTCTATTGACCAGTTTAGGAAGATCGGAGGGCCCCCGGAACAGGATCCAGAACCGCCTTATTCATTTCCAGACTACAAACACGGCAAGCGAGATAGGGGATAGATCCGCTGTCGGAAAGGATTGATAAGACTCTTACATTGGGGTACGTCAGCGTGTGCTCTCGACCTATGATTGCTGTCAATTCCGCCGTACATTTACGGAATGATAAAAAGTGGCTGTTGTCTGTCTCACCCCGTCAATCTGACAAATGACGTAGCCAGCCAGTGACAGAAGTACATCGCTGCTGACCACCATGTTTTTCTGCTCGAATGGGATCATCTGCAGGTGGGGTTAAGGCCTAGCCTTATTGTTGGTGATTCCGGCGAAACGAGAGGTCAATAAATATAAATCCCCGGGGATCGGCATACGCCGCTACTTGCCATTTGCATATAGCACTTGCAGTACCTCAGTCGATCAATCAAGCCCTTCTCGTCATACCCGCGGTAAATATCGTCTTTCTGTTTGTCATTTGCTGAAGAGTCACCACTCCCCACCTTTTCGGCTACCCCAAAAATTACGAAAGAGTTGCTGGTATGAGCGGTTGGGGCTGTTTCTAGGCATATGCTGATTGATACCGTGCTCTCTGTGCTTATCTGACTGGGAACGAGGTTCACAAATGTCCGTCTATTGGCTATTCCTGGCTGAAGGATTGTAGATGCGTGAGAAACTCATGTTGCTCCAGTCGCAAGCAGGGGTAAAGCAAGATTTTAACGGTTCAAGTGCTGCATAAGTGCTGCACGACTGCCAATCTTCAGCAAGAAACTGTAATCATTGCGTAGAGCGGCTCAAAAATAAATGGAAAAATGGGAGCGGATGGCTGGATGGCTTGCATGAGGATCAGGAAGAAACAGAGTTTTAAAGACCGTAGCTGCACAGTCCAGCTTCTGTTCTGGGATTCAGAGCTCGCGCCAATCAACTCTAAAGTGATGTATTCGACATTTCCTGTCTCCTCTTCGCCAGGCAAAGATACCCTGCGCAAGGCAGATCAGCCAAAGCCTAAGCGTCACCATGTTCCCATTGCCTGCGAGAGCTGTCGCAAGAACCGTATCAAGTGTGACAATTCCCGTCCATGTCGTAATTGCAAACATCGAAATATTACCTGCACCAACGTAGACACAACCGATGTCAGGGCTTTGACCAGGTAAACTACCAAATACTCCGTGACCTCTTGTCCATCATGTAGCTGACACTCATTGGATGGGCCTCAGACAGGTCCAACACCTATTGGGACGGGTGCAAACCCTCGAAGCTCGAGTGCAAGACTTCGATATACTCTCCCCCAGTCAGCTGAACGAGTTATCGGCAACAGACCAGACGAGAACAACCCAGCATCAGTCGCGCTTGATACAGTCCTCTACAGCGCAGAATGAGAGAGATAACCATCAAAGGCCGATAGATATCTCCAAGGAAAAAGAATCGTCCGCTGTTCGGGTGAATCTGTCTACCTCGGCCTTCGCTGCGGATCTAGGCCACCAGATACGCAGCCCGCTGCCTCATCCACTAACGGCAGAGTTGGTGGCGTACCAATCGCCCGTGTCTACTCCCGGTCCAAGTCGGATTGTGAGCGAGAATATTCCCAGAGCTCTGGCTGATTACTACATTCGTCTCTACGGGCGGACCATTCAGCGAATTATGCCTGTACTTGACGAGGATGATATCCAAGCGCATTGTGCCCCTCTCTGGAATGAGCCATACTACAGCCCTGGGAAGTCGGCGCTCGCCGATATTATGCTTGCGCTATCATTGCTTATGGACGCCAATGCCAGGTCAAGTCAGAATCGTGGTTTCGTACTGTCGGCCTTCTCGGGTGCCCGCGATCCCAAACAAGACCAAGTCAGACTCATGTCTAATAGACTCTTTCGTCGTTGCGCTGTGAGCCTATCTGAGGATAATCCTGGCCCGTCCCTAAGCAGTCTGCAGTGCTATATTCTGATGACCGTCTATTGCCGCAACGATTCAAACCACACAATGGCGTATCAACTGCTAGGCCTGGCAATGAGGATTGGATGTCTGCTTGATATTTTCCATACACCATCGCAGACTCTACCTCAGAAGGAGCGGAGATTGCGCAGGAGATTGGGAGAGATACTTTACTGCTTAGACACTCAGCAGTTCCTTGAATTCGGACGCCCACCGGCCATTGTCGACGGCAGTTCGACGACGCTGCAGGCGCAGCCTGAAAGCCTCACACAAGAACATGAAGATGCGAATGACGAGGACGACGTCTTTCTCACAAACTATGTCCAGTTGGTCCGAATTGCTAAAGTGGCGCACCATCTGGTTGACAGCGAAGCTACACCGGTCCGTCAGTCTCGCGTCTGCCAGCAGCATCAGCAAACAAACTTTTGCAGCAATGCCACACTTTTGGAACAGCTAGAGAGGAATGAGCCTCGTTGGAGGGAGCAATTCCGTTCCTGGACTGCCACAGTCCCTGATCGCCTTCAGCTACGTCGGAGCCCGCACAGTAGGGGTCAGCCCTTCTCCACCGAGACCGCACTCATCCTGGACCTGGATAAGCCGACCTGGCGACTACGTCAGGCGTTGCTACTAGAGCTCTCCTACCACTGGTTCCAGCTTGGGCTTCTGCGTCCGTTCATGGGACAACAACACAATCAAATTTACGCACAGGAAGCGGCGCAACATGCCTTGGCGCTGACACGGATCACCAACCAGGCTCTCCTAGAAACGGACACCATTTACGGGTGGTACGACTCGCACTTTATGCTGTGGGACGCCGCCTTATCGTTGATGGGGTATACGGTGCTGTGTGCGAACAGTGGGAGTTCTTTGACTGCCGAGGTTAAGGGAGGTTTATCCATGTGCGAAACCACCTTCGAAGCATTGGGCACCCCATTTACAGATCGTGCAGCTGAGCTCATCGGTGCGTTCATAAATCAAAGCACTGCTCTCGTCGGGGACGCTCATTCCAAACTGAGAAACCGTGGCAACACCGCCAATGACGAGAATCCCGCCCAGCAGTGTGGAATAGGCCCAGTAATGGAAGCGGATGGAGGGGACATGGCAGGAGAGGAGATGGACTTGGAACAAATGATGTTTGAGGAGACCTCAAATAATCTGCATCTCGGTTTTCAGCTCGATACGTTGGCGGATGCTGCTTCTCTTCTGCCTCTAGGCAATGATTTTTCGTTTGTTGATGCATAAAGACTAATATCAATTGCTAAGAGTACACCTCAATAAGTTACTGGTCGGGAAAGACAATAAGTCACTATTCTCCAGCGAAACAGGTTCTCTTCGAAATAAAATGAAGAACATGCTAGTTGCCAAGCAGAACCTTAATATAAAGTGAATCAAACAACTTTCTTCAACTCCATCAGTGTGTCCGCACTTCCCGCGGGCTGAACCATCCCCACCACTTGCAATGTCGGATCTGCCGCCTGGAATAGCTTCTCCCAGTCATCAAATGTTCGCTCTTTGCTTCCAAACTGCGTCATCATCTGCATATCTAGCGCCCGCATGACCCGTTCCGTCTGCCAGTCATAGGTCCCCGGTTGGCCCAGCACCTGCTCTGCCACGATGATGGAAGCTCCAGGTTGCAAGACGGCAGCAAGATGGCGCAAAATTACCAGACAGTCATTATCATCCCAGTCATGGAGTATATGCCGGAGCAGCAAGACATCAGCCATCCCGGCGAGGCGAGATTGCGGTTCAAAGAACGAGTGTGGTTGGAAAAACACCCTCGACTTCAAAGCTGGGGGAATCTTCGCGTCCGCCCCTTCTTTGAGATTGATACTATCTTGTACAAACACGGTGAGGTTGGGATATGCCTGGGCAAGAGCAATACCGACGAAGCCGTCCGCTCCTCCGACCTATGCTGCAAGTTAACATAATTGTGGACTGGGACATCTTGGCTAGCCTTACATCGATCACAACGGCATCCTCCCCCAGATCTCCCCATGCGAAACCACTCACAACATGACTAACGTCATGCGGGCCACCATTAGTGATGAGCGCCATATACAAACCATATTTCTGAATCAGGTCCGGGCGTTTTTCAGCATATGACCACCAGGTGTCCGTTGTTGCGTGTGCGATTTGAAAGGCACTCTTATACTCGCTATCTGGCTTCCCGGCCTGGGCAGCCTTTAACCAATCGGGTAATCTCAAGGAGGATGGCAAGCAGACCTCCAGCTGGTACGAGAGCAGAGGCGAGAGACGGATCATCTCTTTTGACAGTTCTGTGTGCGCTACCATGCCAACCGAAGGTTCCCAAAACAGGCCGTACGTCATTGCCTGGCGGAGGATGCGAAGAAGGATGTCGGATGGGATATGGCATTTAGCTGCGATTTCAGTTACTGGAGTGCTCCTATTATCGCCCTGAGGAACCATGTCGAAGATCTGGTAGTGGTTTATGATCCTCAAGGAGGCTAAATTGTGCTTCTCCTGGAGAGGCTCGATGAGCGATCTGTTCTCTGCAGAATGGATCAAACTAAGACTTACGATCAACGCCATGTTTTTCAAAACCTCTGTCGGCCCCATCACCTTGCGAATCACCTGCTGGCAGGCGTTGAGAAGCACACTCCGAGCATCGAGCGCATCCTCAGATCGTGTCTCATGCAGTGACTGAGATGCCGGCAGTTGCTCCAAGGTGCTCACGGAAGCAGTTATAATGCCGGCCAAATGGGCAAGCGTAGGCTGGATATCGACCTGAACAGACATGGTAAATGTTGAATTCAATGATAAAATAATGTATATTGATACGAAAACAGTCTGTAGCTTGTCTGCGATCTCTCGTTGCTACAGCGCCGTTATATAACTATTATCTTCTTCCTCCTCAATTAATTTTGAACGCTTTAGTCTAACCAATAACCACTTCGCAGAAATCTACTGGTATCAGGAAGACAGAATCTCGTCGAGGACTCGATCCGCCCACTGCCGTATTGGGAATCGGATTAGTTCCGGCTAGACGAGGAAGCCATTTCAGGTAATCCGTCCAGTCTGTGATCTATGTAGCTCGTCATCGTTGACGTATGCGTATGACATTGGCAAAATCAGCATTATAATCAGTCTGACAATAATCTCTTGAGTTGGTCTTGCATCACAACTCCCACCTTGGTGATTTTTTGTCTCCCTGGGTAGCGTTTCATCATGCTGGGAATGATGCTTTTGCTCGGCCTCTTGGCCAGTCTCTTCTTCAGATTTGTGATATGGGCCATTTTCGTATATCTGCGAGATCCCAAAGGCCTGAGGAAATACCCTCTGCTGCATCCATTGTCTGGCATCTCCGACATTCCTTTCATGCTGGAATCGATGCGTGGATTCCGCTCTGCTACACTCCTGCAGCTGCACTACGGACAAGGCCATCCAATCATTCGTTTAGGGCCCAACGCTCTGTCTTTTGCAGGAGGACAAGCTATCCCGGCTATCTACGGACATAGCACACCAACTACCAAGGATCGGCAATATTTGAATGCGGCGGGATCCCACTTCCACTTGGCCGACGTAGTCGATAGAAAGGAACACGCGCGAAAGCGAAAGGTGCTCGCCTCTGCCTTTGCCGCCAAGCACCTTGAAGACTGGGAGTACAAAGTGGCAGACAAGGTACACCGTCTCATGCAGCGGTTCGACCAGCACTTGGTACAAATGCCGGACGACCCATTGGATTACCGATCCTGGACCAACCTGTTCACGATCGATAGTCTCTGCGACATCTGCTTGAGCGAGCGACTGAACTGCATTGATCGTGGCACCGACAGTGTGACCGCTGAGGACTTGGCCGGTCGGACCAAGGAGGTCTCATTCCGCGATTGTTTATATGCCACCTTCCACATAGTGGGAGATCTTGTCTGGTCATATGAATGGTATCATGTGGTCTCCTGGGTACTGCAGCGTGTTAGTCGTCAGTATGCTCGCTTATCTCAACTCGGTAACGGCTGGTCTCAACTCGTCCACCATCTGACCAAGCGTCGGTGGGAGCGCTATGTCCGTGACGAGCCGATCAGTGATATATTTGCCGCTCTTATGGAAGATCCCGCGGGAAACCCACAAGATCTGGAGTGGGGTGAGGTGCTGGCAGAGATATCCCTCGCCATCAGTGGCTCGTCCTCCACGTCCAATTCTATTGCGAGCACCATGCAGTTGCTGATCGAGAATCCGGACAAGATGCGCAAACTACAAGAGGAAGTAGACTCAGTCATGCCGACACAGCTGGATGATAATCCTGATGGGGACGCGCCCACGGTGGCCTCTTACGATCAGATCAAGTCTTTGCCATATCTGAGAGCGGTCATTGATGAGAGTCTCCGGTTGTATCCACCAATCTCCCACGGCCTACCCCGAGAGACGCCAAAAGAGGGCATGATGATCATGGATGAATGGGTGGCTGGAAACACCACAGTTTCAGTGTCCGCATATGTTGCTCATCGAGATCCTGCCGTTTTTGATCAACCGGAGTCTTTTGTACCAGAAAGATGGCTAGGAGAGCAAGGGCGGGCCCTGCAAAGCCGTTTTATCGCCTTCTCGGCTGGCGCACGAGGCTGTATTGGGCGCCCGATCTCCTATCTACAAGCCAGCATCCTTCTGGCTAGCCTGGTGCATCGATACGACTTTCAGATGTGGGATTCGAGGTGCAAGCCCAGCAGGCGGGAAACAATGAATCTGATCATGGGTCCGATGCCGGTGAGGATCCAGAAACGCAGCTCATAGTCATTCACATGTGCTACAGGGAGCTGCACTGCTCAGACAGCCTGGCGTTTTCTCTGGTGAGGGCGGTTGACTAAGGTGGCTGCTATCTCAGCTTCCCTCTTGAAAACCCCCCCGGGGGGGGTGAGGGGGGGGTAAGCTAGCTAGATAATGTATGGAATCTAATCAGTGCGCTACTATATGGTTCGGATTCGCGAGATGCCCTAGCATCTCGCGGTATGATTGGCGTTTCAGCCTTGTGGTTAGACTAGTATCAGGCTAGCTTTCTTGCACATGAAGGGAGTAGTAGATATATTACCTGAGTATGGAGAATTAATTACTAATTCCCAGAGTCCCTGGATGATGGCGGACACCCTTTGCGCTGAGGCTCCATCTTTAGTCAATGCAATGAATACCCCCAAAACTAGATCTTATAATGTTCTGTGGTTGAATGGTGGTAGTCTAGTAACAATTCTTATGACAATGTCTTTAGGTAACATCTGAGGAACGTTAAGAGTAAGTATCGATTGGATGGCATAATCCTAATTTGTGAGAGACGAGGAGTACACCCTATCCGAATCTTTCGATTCTTGCCATTTCTTTCACCATCTCCTTCGCTATCCTGCGTGTCTTTCGATCCAGAGCAGTGACTAAGCTGATCCACTCAAATCTTTCCTTCCAGAACGCCCACCGTTCCTTTGACCAACCTTCGGATCCTGTCCACTTAGTGGGAAATTCTCTTCCCATTGATCCTTCCATTTCATATATCTCCTTGCCACAATGTCTGATCCACTGCGCTGCGGCGGGTACCCACCCATTGAGCGACCTGATATCAATCTCCTCCAGCAGGAGATCTCGCTGCTTACAATACTCATCTTCATCCTCATCATTGTCAAGGTCCTCGAGCTCCTGTTCGATGTCTTCATGGTGGAACTTCTCCCACGGTGCTTTCTCCAGTGTCTTTCTCAAGACCCAACCACCGTGACGGAGATGACCGACGTTATTAGCACGGACGCCCCGAGCATAGAGCTTGGCTGCGAAAGAATTGACATTAACCCAACTTTGCCGCTTTTCATCGCGTCGAGAATCATAAAATGGATGGTCAACGTCTACATTATTAGTTTGAGCTTGTAACTGATCTTGAAGAAGACATACAGTCAAAGACAAACTCCGTCATATATTCACTGAGCCCATCCAGCCGACCAAAAGCTCCGTTGCAGTCAGACAGACTCTTCAGTTCCGCAACAAAGTCCACTAGGCGGTCATTCTGGCCCGTAAATTTACCGATTGCTGCAAAAAGGAGAGGCCATAGAGATGTGTAGTCCGGGTCTGGATTGGACTCCGCGATGAAGGACGACACTGCTTCTCTGGCTGCCGCTGATGGTGGTGTTGAAGAGTCCGCCAACAGCGACCTGATTGCTGAGAGCATGTGCGTAGGTGGGGCGTATTTTTTCTGGCTCTGCGCTGTGACGAAAGCCTCAGATTCAGAATCCATAATGTTTAGATTTTGGAAATGCTGGACGGTTATGGTCCGTTGTTCCACGAAGAAGATTCGAAGGGTGGTTCGTTGAAAACCTAGGTCTGGGCTGTGATGGGATTATAGGTAGTGCCAATCTGTTATCTGAGAGACGAGGCTGAATTTGCCAATTGTTCCTTCAAGGCTTAGCTTTTAAGCCAAGAATAACAGGAGGACCAAGTGGAAAGGTTTGAATGTGAAACAAGGAATGGCCCCCACATTCTCCGACCCCAAAGACATGGCGGTGCAGTCTGCGGGTCACTTAATGATGATCAACTCTAACAAAACAAGGCAGTGCAAGACCATCCATATTCCCTAGAAATTACTACTTTATCTCACAGAAACGTTTAATGGGCTGAAATTGAGAAGGAGGCTAGCAGAGTGACGCGCAAAGTGAATCTGGGGCAATAGTTGACCTCAAAAAGGGTTCTATCTCCAAAGCACGCATTCATGTAAAAAGATTAAGACCATTTTTATATGTTCATTTATGTAAACGATTCATATAAGAAGACTTAGGTATCCTTGCCATTTTTTGGGAATAAATGCCTGGTCTGAAAACTGTAGACGTCGCGTGCTTATTCTCCTCGACAGGCTGTTGCTTCCCGACACTGTATACATCTGAATAAGGCTATTGCCTGAAATCGGATCTGCTTCCTTTCTGCTCAGCCCCAGGGCTGAAAACTTGACTGTGGGTTGCGGCATATTCGGCCCCTTTGCCTGAATGCCTTCGATCTTCACACCAAAAGCCTCACGATAATGGCTCCGACAGGTATAAAGGAATCTCGAAAACCTCCCAGAGCTTGAGTTCACCATCTTACCTCTACACGACTCCCCAGCAAGGTCCCAGTCTCTCAACAAATCGTTGCTAAAAACCCGATTTTGTAACTCCAAGATGCCGTCGTTTTTCCGTTCTCTGGCTCTCAACGTTCTCTTGGCTGGCGCTCTTGTGGCCCAGGTCACCCATGCCCATCCCAAACCTCTCGTGGATTCGCAAGATTATGACAGTATCACCAGTGTACCAGTCTCAATAGTGCCCTCTGTTGGTGAGGCCGATGGTGAGCTGTACAAGCGTACGAAGGATCTGAAAATCGCCCAAGAGCCGGATCAAAGCTACAGCTGCCCTGCGACGAATAACTATGGAGGGACATCGTACTCCTCTGGACAGCTCAAAGCTGCTTTTATCAAGGCAGCCCAATACGCCAACAATGGCCAACAGATTGGAGACAGTCAGTTTGCAGCCAATTCTTGAAGGCAACCCTACTGACTGCTACTTAGGAAACTACCCGCATACCTTTGGCAACGGCGAAAATCTTCCCTTCCCATGCGGCAGGAGCACCATGGAATTTCCCTTGGATCGAGACGATCCGGGCACTGTATACAGCGGCCAAAGCGTGAAGACCTTGCCAGACCGTCTTGTCTTTGAATTTAAGGATGGCAAAAAGGAGGGAAAGGCGAAGTTCTGTGGGGTGATGCGCCATGGAAACAACGGTGATTTTATCAACTGCACTTAGGCATTACCTGGAGGGGAGGCGTTTCTCTGTTGGCTCAATTGTTTTACTGCTTGTACATACTAGATCTCAGTCTTGTGTAGAGTTCCAAGCGAACCAAACACTTTCAATTTGCATGATTGGGATACCGAGTCCAATTCCAGTATGAAAGCATGATAAGCGTAAGGCTGAACAGTAAGGTCTCCTGATTATAAGGACGAACAAAAGCTTCCCTCAGGTCGCAGCATTGAGCCTTATTTATAAAGGGGCGGAAAGTATCGGCATCACTTTTATTTGTTTCCGACATTTTCCGATGATGACTGTAATGGATGTCCCGTGACAAGCAACACTTGTTCGTGTTCTGCGCGAAGGACGATCACCCCAGAGAACCGCACAATGTCTTCAAAATCCAAGACAAAAGTGGCTTGTAAGTCCTGTAATCTTCGCCGAGTTAAATGCGATCGGACCGAGGACAGCGCGTGTTTCAACTGTCGAGTGGCTGGACAGGAATGCCAGCCGATCATCTCACGCCGTGGAAAGTACTGACACCGTTGTCGCGCTGGTTATGATCTGAGATACTAAATCTAATCTAGATACAAGCGTTCCAATACTAAAAGCCGTCGAAGTGGATCAGCTCGTCGAGCAGCTGTTCACTCTCAAGATGGGAGTCGCGGTAGCCCAGGAACGCAACATCCAGTGGCTGGAGAGAGCACCCATCCAGATCCCACTCTGTTTGGGACGGCTGGGGAAGAAGCCTGTGGATCTGGTCAACCGCTCAGCCCTCGCTTTATCAACAGGGCCAACGACCCAGGTCGTGGCAAGGAGATGGTGTACTACGGAGACTCCTTCAATCTCAACTACGTCCTACGAGAGATGGGGAATCCGTTCCAGGGCGATTTTGACAGCTCCTCCTTGAAGGTTAGCATCGAAGAACTGTATTTGAACCATTTAGGTCGGCCGATGAAGGACCACCTCGACGCCCATGAACACAGCGAGCGATTCCGGTTACAAGAAATGGGCGCATTCCAGCGTCTCGACAAGGACATAAGCGACGCCCTTCTCCAGACGTTCTTCGCTGTAGTGTACCCGTTCTGCCCCATCTTCGATCTTTCAGAGTTCCACACCAAATACAAGGCAGAACAAATCTCCCCGCTTGTATTGCAGGCCCTATATTTCGCCGCCGCGGCTCATTGTGAATTGTCATTGATCGAAAAGGCGGGATTTGCAAGTCGGTATATGGCAACCTTTACATTCTATCAAAGAGCAAAGGCATTGTACGATGCGAACTATGAATCGGACGCTATAGCTACAGTCCAGGCCTTGTATCTTCTGTCATATTGGTGGGGTAGCCCTTTGGAACAGAAGGATATGTGGCACTGGACGGGGCTTGCTGTTGGCCTTGCACAAACTCTCGGTTTGCACCAGAGGTCAGTTGATATCGCTATTCCTCTGGCTTTGTGGAGACTAATTGTTCAATTCAGTAAGACATATGCAGGCTTACCAGAAAGGCAACAGAAGTTGTGGAGACGTATTTGGTGGACCGTCTATGTATGTGTGAACATGGCGGACAAAACCCAGCTGACCGGATTTTAGAGTCACGATATCCTTATGGCCCTTACATTGGGTAATACTCCGCATGTCAATGAGGCATACTCTAACGTGCCCTTATTATCTGAGGCAGATATCGAGGACGACGAGGATGGCTGGCAAGATATGCATTTGATCGGGAGTCAGACTCAAGAATGTCGTCTATACATTGTTTATCTTGTGGACTTGGCCAAGCGAAGTATGTATGCCACAATCGTCCACAAATAATCCTAACTTTTTCCAGCCAGTCAGTGTCTCGAGGCTCTCTTCGGTGCCAGCTCCAATGAGTCCAAAATACAAACCAGTCTTGACAGAGTCTCGTCATGGCAAACGACACTTCCCCATGTCCTACAGCGGAACAACTCCATAATTTCCCTGCAGAGCGGCTATTGGACGTCTCTGATTCATCTGACCTACAAGTACAGTCAATCCGCAATTAGATGGATAATAGCTGACAAAGGGTGGCAGTACATGCCAAATCCTTCTACATAGGAACGGCTTCCATTACCCAGACCGGCTGAAGATGGGGTCCCTACCTTCTGATGCTGCTGTCAATATTGTGCGGATCCTCGAGGATATGATGTCCTCTGAGGTTCTTACCGTGTCGTGCCTCCGAACGTATGCCGTTCATCCCTACAGATTCAATGAGCAAGGGGCTGACAGGCAATAGGCTACCGGCTGTATTTGCCTCTCTAAGTGTCCAAATTGCGAACATTAGTGGAAATTCACCTGATGGTACTGGAATTGCAAAGCATAGGGCGCGCTTTTGCATGCTTGTCCTGAAAACATTGCAAGATCGTTGGGCTCCACTCGTGTGGTACTATTCTATGTTCTTGAAAATACTGCACAAAATGGGCTGTGAAATCCCAGGTGGCGAGGAACACAGCACTTATTCATTCCATGATCGCTCCCTGGGGGCGTCAAGCACCACTGAGCCTCTCCCTGACGCTACATGGAGGCAGCCGCAACACAACCAGATTTTCGAAAACCCTAGCGGGTCATTCATGGCGGAAGTCTTGACAGAGGAGGCTGATTATGGGGCAGTGATGGAGTGTTTCCCATTCTCAAGCTTCTTGGCTGACAGTATGTCTGGGCAATCCGACACCACGTTTGACCAGGCGGACAATGCTCAGTCGTGACCTTATCTCCGGTACCACATCCTCGTCACCTTTGTACCCCTGATTTTCCTCTTCAGCTGGAGAATACCATATAAAAGCGCCTCCGGCGTCGGTGGACAACCAGGCACATAGATATCCACCGGGACCAACCGATCCACGCCCCGGACAACACTATACGAGTGATGATAATAACCGCCCCCATTCGCACAACTTCCCATACTAATCACCCATTTCGGATCGGGCATCTGATCATACAGTTGTCGCAGCGCGGGCGCCATCTTGTTGGTCACTGTTCCAGCCACGATCATGACATCGGCTTGCCGGGGCGAGGCGCGGAAGATGATTCCCTGTCGGTCCTGGTCATATCGGGGCATGGACGCGGCCATCATCTCGACGCCGCAGCAGGCGAGGCCGAAGGCGAGGGGCCAGAGGGAGCCTTGACGGGCCCAATTGATGAGTGAGTCAGTCGTTGTTCTGAGGACGTTAGTATGTTGCAGGCGTATGGGGAATGTCAACTGACAGTATATGGTGCAGCTTGCCGGCATTTTCGTCTTTGCTCTGGTTGAACGAAGTTGGAAGCGAGGGGTTGGTTATTGTGTGCTTTTGCCAGCTGGAGGATGCTCGCAGCTGGAATGGTAGCACCTTTGCTCTCGGACGGTTATCGACCGCTTGAGTATTTCCATATCGCCCAGATAGATCAGGCTTGGAGCACAATGGTCGCAGAGATGTATATAATCGAGCTCGCATCTTTTATCATCAGATGTCAGTTTGATATAGTTAATAAAACCCCTTCCAAGGACAAAGATCGAGAAACTTAGGCTAGCTATAGAAAGGAGCAGCGCAATATAAAAGGCAAGTATAATATCGCCGATATGGCTGTTACCCAGCTAGATCCCAAGTCGGCGATATGAGTTCTCGACGGCGGAGGCATATCGCCGACTTGAAACTTGCATCGTAAATCAGATAAACAACAACCCTCAAAACTAGGGTCACTAGCTGCAATTACTGCCAGGGTAGTAACTTGTTGAGGCAGAGCCATGCATGGTGGTATTTTTCTCCGTGATCCCGATCGTATGTGGGTCTTCTGGCGTCGATTTAGGCAGGTATACAATTAGACCGCACGTCTGCAGGGAAGCATATGTATTTATACTTCTCATACACAGGTGAAGACAGCCCAGCTGTACTGTATCAATTGCAATTTCTTGTCAGTGTCGTCGCCATTCTCACATTCTCAGATGATACCTTGTTACTATATAAGGGCATATTGAATCCTTCTTTCTCTTCTTTCCGACCTATTTCCAAAGTCTTTTCATCTTTAATCTATCATTTTACTCCAATATTTCGAACGTTTGCGATATGTCCCATTCCAAGAAAGCTCGAGACAGGGGCCAGCCATCTTCCGAACATGGCAGCTTTGCACCTGGACCACGAGAGTTACCAGAGTTGAAAATTCCCGACACAATCAATGATGATATTCTTCGCACCATGGTGCTTGCTTCTGAAGGGGTGACGACCCAGTCGGAAGCCAAGCTTCAGGATGTGAAATTCGTCCTCGAGAGTATCATGGGGGCCATAGAGAAAATGAAAAATGAAAAAGGCAGGCCAGAGCAAGACGACGGTTCTTGGATTTTCAAAAGCGTACAATGAGATTGCCGCCGTCTACGGTCTTCTTGGCATGACGCAACAGGAAAAGGAGATTTCTAAGATCTTTCAATCAAGAGGGAGGCAAGACGAGGACCAGATGACTGGGAGACTCTTCTCATTGTCCAGAGAGACGCTCGTCGATACTGGGAATGGGGAAGCCTGGAAGATGCAGTCTTGCTTTTTGAACGTGCTCAAGACGGTCAATCAAAAGCACTTGGAGAAGACCACATCCATACCATCAAAACTACGCTGTGTCTTGCCACTACTGCTATGGCGCTTTCATTGAAATATGCCGGTGAAGGCAAGGCGGATTTGGGGCTGAAAAACATTGGCAGAGCACTAAAGCCTCAGAGCGGGTGAAGGATTTGGAAGGAAAGACTCTTAGTGGTGATCTTTTTCGAGTGCCAGATGCCTACTTCCTGTTACAAGCCACTCGCCATATGATCCAGGGCAAGCTTCAAAAGACATTCGAGAGCGGGCTTATTCACGAAAGTGTGAAGTCCGAACAAATTTCAATTAGCTTCTGTCTGTGTCTCTCCGTCTGTATCTACTAAAAGTTGACTAGCTTCTTTCAGACTATGTCTAACTCAGACAATCATTGTTGTTCTTAAGGCTTGTTCGGGTCAGACCGCATCATGCGCCATTCTCGGTCCCTCCATAGGGAAGCCTTAATGCCCAGTTTCTCTCGTTGACAGACCATGTATCATGGGTCTAGACTGATGAAGTCTAATAGCAACTCAGCAGACGACCAGACTGACAGCATGGAACCGCGAGCGCCATGGATGCGAATAGTTTAATTGCAGCTAGGAAGGTCAAAGAAGCTGCCGTCCAGAAAAAGTGGTTACCAAAGCAGTGGAAGGAATTATATAGTGAAGAGTTATAACCAATGCCTATAAACCGAGTGATTTATCAATCGAAAGAGCGAGAGTAGGGGAGGTTTCTCTTCCATAGAGCCAAGGGGCTAATAATCGTGTAGATTTCCCTAGTCAAGTTATCTTAGCCATCTTTACAGAAGATATTGGGAAAGGTGTCGGGTCCATATTGCCATTCCAAAGGATACTATTGTTGCTCACAGAACCGCCCATGGCTCATATGAATTCGAGTCCCATCCTGATTTCTGCCTCCCTTGCTGTCACCATTGAATAGAAGGAACACTTATCTACATCTGTGCCGGAAAATCCATACCCAGACCGTCCGGAAGAAGTGTCTATGAGACACACGAATAGCATTAGATGCAAGTGACAAGCGACTGAACTTCGCGGGTAATACTTTGTCCACTCCTTTCCTTATCGCCAGGGTCCTCATCGCGAGAGGACATTGCTCGGAGGACATGGATGCCAACTTATTCCGACTGCTGCTAGAGTGTGTTGGCCTGCACTTTAGTATCGAATGATATGGATTGATGCTAATTGTCAGAAAATAGGTACGCTCGGGTGCAAGACGATAACTGGGAGACATTGGGCTATACTAGAATTTGATTCATGTCTCTTATCAAAAATCTTCCAAGATGCGCCACCGCCTGTGGCTTTCGAGGATCTCCTACAAGATATTGACGGGGAACAGTGCCGATTTTTACACAGTTGATTGTCTCATGTACGTAGATGTAGATGTTAGGTTTGTTAAAAACACACCTATACCAAGCAATTCAGGATCATGCGACGCGATTATGAACCACCAAATGTTGGGCTCCTGATTTTGTTGCCCGATACAAAACGGTCTTCTGCATCTTGTCCGGGAAGTATGGGCTAATCGGCATCTTTCATAAATAACTAAGAGGTACTTTTTACGACCTTTGAAGGGCCTCACTAGGACACCGGCCGAGGATCCGCAAATCCAGATGACTAATCGGTCCTCTAGTTGCGCGCCTCGGCATGCCGTTGGAGCCGACAAACGCTCGGGGTCCACCACGTCAGCCTCGGTAGCTTCGTTGACTAATCATGCATCTCCATCTCTTTGCACTTGCGCTTGTATCGACATTCGAAAGGATCCACAGCGGCTTCCACGAACGCCTAAACATCTCTTGCCTATAAAAATTAAGAAGCCAAAAGTAAAATGGCCTCTAGCTGTGCTTTCGAAGACCTACACCAGCCCGGCAAAACCTGGCAAGACTCAAAGTTCTTTGTGCGATGGATTCATTGATAGCAGAGTCATGGTTAAAGGTGATGGCATTTCCAGCACCGCACAACATCGCATTGTCCTCCGCGCTATTCACTAACTCAGTTTAGGTAGAAAATGCCATTGGCCAACGGCCTCAATTGACCGGCGATGTCTTTGCCATGAGGGAGCAGTATAAGGCACTGGCGGATGGGGCAAATGCAACTCGAACCATTTCGCCTAATATTACCGTCGGTAAGAGCGATTTTCGGGCTCCTGTTAAGTCCGAAATAAGATATGATCGCACTCACTGTACACACAGAAGATATAAAACTCAGTCCCAATCTCACCGTGAGAACTTACACGCCAACAGCACGTCAAGCAGAATCCAAACCATGCCCAGTCGGATTGTACTTCCACGGGGGCGGGTTGTGCTGTGGTGATTTAGACTCCGAGGACAACTTCTGCAGGCTTCTAGCCGAACGCCTGCCTTGTATTGTCATCTCGGTGGGCTATAGGCTTGCACCGGAGCACAAGGCCCCCGCTCAGCTAGATGATGCGCTCGAGGCTTGGAATTGGGTGAGTTGCACAACTGACCTCACCACCTCACTCTGACAGTTAAGTTTTGCTTACATTTCAGGCATACAATAACGCGAGTACTTTGAACGGTGATCGTGGGAGATACTTCACTGTTGGTCAGAGTGCAGGGGGTACCCTCGCTCTGGCAGTGGCGCGCCGATTGATCGTGCTTGGCCGCAAACATGAAGTAAAGGGGATCGCAGCCATTGTTCCGTTCGTTGTCCACCCGGATGGTGTTCCTTCGCGTTATATGGCCCAATATCGTGCTTTTGATGAGTTCGGAGACGGACCCGTCAACACGAAGCAAGCCATGACCCATTTCTACAGTTGGTGACGCCTATACATTGACAAGTCGACATTTAGTTGACCAGGGTGGTTACAGAAGCAATCCAAGCGCCGCCCGGCGACCCAGACGTCTACGTTCTCAATGCGGAGGCGGATTTTCACCAGTTCCCTCCGACCTACCTTGCAGTCTGTGGGATTGATCCACTGCGAGATGACGGCCTTATCATCCACGACGCCTTGAAAACAGCTGGGTATGTTGCCTCCCGCCCTAGTGCCTGCCTATGAATTTTTGTTCATTCTAACCTTGCTTGTAGAGTTTCTGTAAAATTGGATTATTACCAAGGTTTGCCACACGTGTTCTGGGCTTTTGGGTGTCCTCCTCCAAGTGGTGATTTCGTGGCGGATGTCATGGCTGGTATTAGGCTTTTCACGCATACTTGACAGACCATTGCCGCGCAACACTAGGTCGACAGTGCTTGATATATGCAGGTGCAAGGCGGTATGTTATTTGAAGAAATGAACTGACTTTAGAACCACTAGCTCGGATAATCCATAGTTGTTGAGGATGCAGTTGGTAAACGTCGCATTTCATGCCGTGTTTTGGGGGTAACGGGTCGTAGGTGGTGGCGACTCAGTAGTGAGTTACCGGGCTGAGTTTGTAATCGATGACGAGGAGAATGGGAAGACTCAGGCTTAAGCGCATAGTCCACAGACCTACTATTGTTGTGCATAAATTAGCTACAAGCCTGCAGAGATTAAGATTTTCTAAGTCCTGTCGGTATATAGAAGCCTAAGGGCGATCTAGAAATCAACGTTAGCGCTAAGTCCGAAAGGTTTATCAGGTCTAACTAGTCCCACGAGCTAGGCCGAAAGAGGAGAAAATGACATCGAGTCTATCTCATAGTACTCCCGTATAGCATCTATAACGCCAGGAGGCGGGTACCGCGAATTTAGCTCGGAAGGCTAGGCCAGAAACGTCAAAAAAGGTCATCACACTAGGTCATGGGTCTGAACTAAAGAAAGGCCAAGAAAACTAGGTCTCACCGAGATACCCTTCAGAGGTCCGGTGCTTTGAAATACAATCATGTTCTAAGCATCCCTCTCGTCCACAGCCTCCTGGACTTTAGGGGTTAAATCTGAGTGCTTTGAAATGCAAAGCAAAATTCTGTGAACACGGGGCTAGAAGTCTGAAGGCGGAAAAAGATAAATAGTTCACCGATGATTTGAAACGCTGAGTCCTAAACTCATCAAAGCTATTTTCATTCCAATGATTACCCAGATTTAAACCGCCAAAGTTCATTCAACCATGATGTCCCGTTATGCAGAAGCTCATTTGAACCCTGCTGGCCCCAGTGATGCTCACCCAACAGCTCTCTAGATTATCAATGATGAAGTAGTAGAGGGCAACTAGGTCAATGAGATCACGGTTTTCTCCTAACGTGAATCGTTGTTTTGAAATGCTCGGTTATAAAAATATGCAGGTCATTTTTTTTGTTGAAACATGAATACTCTCAACTGCTTTCGCAACTCCATCAAGCACGGCCTTATTCCGAGGTGGCCTTTCGTCATTTGCGGTGAGAAGAAACTCTGTTGGAATGACTTACTATCTTCAGGGGCAATTAACATCTTAATTATTTCAGACTTGAAACTTACTGTATTGCTGTCCTGGGTCAAGATATCGCCATTGCCTGCGTAATTCCTATATACATTCAAAGTCTGAGCAAACACCTAGTTACTGCTGTACACGCAGATCACTGAGCTGCCTTCTCACTCTACCTCCTCACATGTCCTTCATCAGAGAACCACTTCTTTCATCCCACAAAATAGGGCTGATGATCCCATAATCCGAGCCTCGCTTTTGGAGAAGGGAACTTTGTGCCTTCGTAATGAGTTAGCTAATCAGCTGTGATGCTCTAGTCACCCGATCTACTCACTAGTGGTTGCTTATGCCTTGCGTAGAACATTCTGCGTTTGGAAAACAACAGCCTCCTTGGGGAGATGCTTCGCGAGCAGAGCTGTATCCCAGTAAAGCCAGACCTCCCTGAAATTCAATCCATCCACAGCATCGGCGAGGTCAGCAGGGCCGATAATAGAGATCCAGCTGAGTGGGACGCTGACAGTCGGCTCTTCGGTGTTGTTTCCAGAAAGCCAGATATTGCGGGTCCACTGGGTCAGGATGGTGGTTGTACCATCATCATTTTTGACTTCCCAGAGGCTGTGGAAGTCGTGTCGCATTCTTTCAAATTGTCCGAAAAGACGCTTCATCCACGCCCACATCTCGTCTCCACCATTGTACTGGGCGTTGTTCTGGTTGTGGAAAATGACGTTTTTGGAATAAAACCGCAAGCCAGATCCGTGGTTGAAGCCATAGGAATCAACTGTATCAACATATTTTTTAAAAAATTGTTGCACTGGAGTCTCTGGTCCGGACGTATCCCAGGTAGGAGCGGAAACACAGCTTACCAACTCAGGCATGATTGGAGAATAAGAAAGGAGACACGGAATAGAACGAGAACTCTTGATGGATCTGGATTAATGTCTTATATTCGCAAGCGTCTTATAGTTACGCTGACGCCACTACTGGGAGCCGAAGGGTCTGTTCAGCGACTTTATGATTATGATAATGCCGAGGCGCAAGTCGCTTCACATCTTCGTAATCCATGGAATGTACTCCGTACTACGAAGCCAAGATTTCAAATTCCGACGACCCCCACAAACTATAAAGTACAGTGGGTCAAGATGGCGACTCTCGGGTTCCCGAGGTCAATGATCAGTAATCCCTCGCCGCCTTAATTTACCGACTTCTGGGTGACGGTTCCATTGAAGTATACCCAGCATTTATATATAGACCTAAGAACAATTTTGTAATTTATGTGTGTCAAACCCCTCTTCATTAATCAAAGTCAATTCAACTCCAATTCTCTACAATATGGGTCTCGACTACAAAGTATTCACCAGCAGACGATCCGGCGTGAATCGGTCCACCCCAGCCGGTCACGATCATCTCAAGTGGGTGCCGACCACTTCGACTTTGATATTCGGCCAAAAAGATGCGGTGCTGGTCGATACGCAGTTAACCATTGCTGCTGCCAAAGAGTTGGTAGACTGGGTTGTAGCCACTGGAAAAAACCTCACGACGATCTATGTCTCTCATGCCCATGCCGATCATTTTTATGGTACCGGTGCCCTCCTGGAGAAGTTTCCAGAGGCAAAGGTCCTCGCTACGCCGGAGACTGTCTCTCGTATGGCTGAAGCCATATCTCCCGAAGGGATGGACGCTTTTTGGAGAGATCTTTTCCCTGGTCAGATCCCGGAAAAGCTCGTGATGGCCACCCCCCTGCAGCAAGACCACTTCATGTTGGAAAACGAGCGATTGGAAGTGGTCAGACTGGGCCATACAGACACAGATGATACAACGGCTCTCTGGGTACCTGCGATCGGCTTGGTTGTTGCGGGCGATGCAGTCTACAACAACACCCACCCATACCTTGGCGAGTCGAAATCCCAAGAGGCCAGATCGAGATGGGTGGCAGCGCTCGATAAGATTGCGGCCCTTAAACCGAGAACTGTCGTTGGCGGTCACAGTGACCCATCTAAGGGATTCTCCCCCGATGCCGTCCAAGCGACCAAGGATTATTTGGATGACTTCGCGCGACTGGATGGGCAAACATCCACTCCCGAGGAACTATACTCCCAAATGATGGAATTGCATCCCACTCGATTGAATATCGGCTCGCTATGGGGAGGTGCAACGCTCGTGAAAAAATGATTCTATGCGTGGTCTTCCTGTTGACTGAGTAACCAACGAGTTGAATTAGTGCACCATGATTCGGTATTAGCTTAGGATAACCAAGAGCACATTCCTTGATATTGCATTATGAGAGGATATCTTTTTTGGACGTTTGAACCAATAATGCACTTTGCTGTTACCAACATGTATATACGTAGGTATACTGCTCGGTGGCAGAGACCGATCTTACAGCGTTCTCATCATGATCTAGACTTGAAATTTGCGCATCTCGAGCTGTCAAAAATAATCCCAAGTCTCAATCTTAATATTTGTATCGTGGCAGGTTTCTTGTCAAATACCTCTCGACTTATAAATGCACTAAGACAAGTCAAAGAGGAAGGTACTCTGTTATTGATGATGTGGGTTCTCTAAATGTATTTTGGGGCGAGGAAACACCATATGCAACAAAAGGAATGCCAAATTTAATCCCATTTTCTTCTGCGCAGCAAACCTTCGAGAACTCCGAATTCGTTGCGTCTGTCGCATCTCAAGAAGAGGCTAGCCATTTCCCTAAGAACTCAATCTGTCCTTTAATATTCTGTTCAAACCAATCCCCGGTATAGATATCGAAATGACCTGCGCCATCAATATACAAAAGCTGCTTTGGCTCTTTAGCCTTTTCGTAGGTGGCCATCTGAGATGCCGTGGTGACAAGGATATCATTCCCAGGAACAACCATCAACAGCGGAGTCGGCGAGATACGATGCACCATACTCTGTCCTTCAAACGTAAGCATATTGAGCTGTGTCTGGATTGTAATATTATTCTCCCAACGACCACCACAATCGTACGAGCCGCGCACCTGCTCGTAAGCATGAACTCCGGGAAACATGGCAGCAGTGGTCCCTGACTGCGCTGCTTCCAAGTTTTCCGCAATAAGCGGGACCCTTTCTGGTTCCGATCCTGCAGTGATACGAGCACGCTCTTGCAGAATGCCCGGGATGCGGTCTTTGAAGGCCAATGATCGCGTTTCCCCAGAAACTGCAGGGCACTGTACGATAGCAGCTTTGATCCGTTTGTCCACAGCAGCTGCGTATAGAACATTTCCTCCGGAGAAACTCGTGCCCCAATACACTATGCGAGTATCATCCACACTAGGGAATGATGTTGCGAAATTGAACGCGTCGTAGTAGTCGGCTTGTTGAAGGGCCGGGTTTGACTCTTGCCGCGGTAGTCCATCACTGTCACCCCAGTTCCGATTATCATAGAGCAGTACATTGTACCCAGCTTGCTGGAATCGATCCGCGAAATTCGGGAGCCAATAGTGGCGGACACCACCCAGCTATTTGTCGCAATTAGCCAATTTCATAGGTTAATCCAATATCTCGATATCTCACGGAGTACGCACCCCGTGGGTCATGATCACACAGGCCGATTTCTCAACTTGGGGATAGAACCATCCCCGGAGAATAGTGCCATCGCAAGTTTTGAACTCAATGGTTTCACGAGCGAGGACCATTGTTGTAAGATATTGATTGTCCCAGGTGCAAGTCGAAATTGAAGATTGTCGAGTTGGCTGTTTGAGAATGACAAATAAATTAGCAGAGGCGATATGATAATATTGTCTTCCTGTTCTTTTGCCAACCTCGGTGTTACAATGGACGAGTAATCCAAAAATCATCGAACCTCCTTGAGCTTTTGATTACATTGCTTTAGCCGACCGAGGTTGCTCATATCATCAGCCAAGACATAAATCAAGCTTTTTATTATGCCGAGGCGGCGATCATGTTTGCTTCCTTCATTTTGATTGGCTTACATGTGTCCAATAATATTCGATTGACAAACTGACCTGTACAAAATCAAGTTGGATATATTGTGAGGAATATAGACGCTGCAGTAACCTCCTACGAATATGGCTCTCCAATCGCTCAATGTAAGTTACGCATCACGAAGCGATAGAAAGAATTAATGGGCTACTAAATTTCGCAGTAAGCGATACAGAAAATCATCGTTTCATCCATGTGTTAACAGTTTGGGCTTTATTAAAACGCGAATCATTCAGACGATGCCCAACATTAGCCAACGGGCGCCGCCGGAACGTTGACTGGAGCGAATCTCGAGCTGCTTTGGTAGATTCATGGGATCATATAGACTAGGGTGCAATTGACCGGTTGATTCGCAGTTTGCCGCGTACAATAAATGCTATGCGCGCTGCGAGAGGCTGGTACACTAAATACTAGACATAGTGAATAAAGCAGCTATTTTTCTATAAGATAATTTGTTTTTAAATACTTTGAATGAGTCCTCACAGAGTAGTAATAAAATAATAAAGGGCAGGGAGGTGGTAAATTAGGTAATCGGGGCTGTCAACAGATTTTTGAACTATGAGTGTACTCTTCCTTAGAATACATAGTCTCATGTCGAAATCGTAAAATAGATTCAATATAGATGTGTTAACATGTGTCATACGCATCAGTCACCTGAAAAGGAAGAAGTTTAACTTGAAATTTTGGTCTGCCTCTGATACAACCTACGACCTTCTGAAGCTTTTCAATGAAGCTGTCGCGTTCGTTTCCTCATCTTTTTCGTTTACCCTTACTTAGCTATCTATACTCGGTTCCAGCTCATCGCTCGCTCACCTTGCCGTCGTTCTGCGAGATCGCGCGATATAGAACAGTACCAAGGACATTGCTTAGTCTATTACGTTAGAAAATATGATGGCCGAGGTCTTTGACAGCATAATACACCAGGCTCTCCTGTCAGCGTTATTCTCAATTTCGGGAACGTGCTCCTAATCTATCCGCGGCTCTTACAAGAGAATAGCAATAGTGAGAGCAGGCTAAAAGCCGGGGTAAGGCCGTATTCCATGGTATTGGACTTGATCACAACGTTGGAAAGACGGAAGTGTTATTGCATTAAAGTGGCGGCCCGATGTTTCAGGGTGCCGAGATCGCCGTTCGGGGATTATCGCTCCAAAGTAAGAAGAATAATCATAAATGCAGCAGGATATTCTTCTAACTAATCATATTTCACAAAACCTCGGTTTGAGATTACAGAATTCTGTTTTGTTTTGAAATATAAAATAGGTATTTAATTCCGTTCCTGGGATCATTGTGGGAAAGCGTCTAACAGTTGTCACGATGGAAACAAAAACAATGAAAGCAATTGGAGTCGCCAAGTATGGTGCAGTCGACAACTTCGAGTCCCGCGACGTTCCGCGACCCGGGAGCCCTACGGGAATGGATATTCTTATTCAGTAAGTATTCTCAGATAACATACTGCCACATTAATCCTGACGTCACTTAGAGTCAAGGCCTGTTCTGTGAATCCCATCGACACCAAAGTTCGCAGAGGGACTTATGATGACGCTCCAGGTAATGATCCTGCTCCTTTTTTGGAAAACTTTCATGCTTATCAAATAAAGACTACTACAAGTTTGTGCCCAAGGATTTCCATATCATTGGGTTTGATGGTGCCGGAACCGTTTTGGAGGTCGGGCCTGAGTGCACAAATATAAAGCCAGGCGATGATGTCTTCTTCGTGAGCTCCACTACTCGCCAAGGCAGTGCTGCAGAGTACGTCCTAGTTGATGAACGTCTCTGTGCCGAGAAGCCGAAGTCGCTTGACTTCGTGGAAGCCGCTAGTATGGGCCTGACCTTCGGTACTGCATACCAGTCACTTGTTGATAGGCTGGAGATTAAGCAGAACGAAAACGTTGGTATTCTGATTGTAAGTTTCATTCACGCATTGAGCCAATGTTGTAGTAGCTATTGCTACTTGGTTACATTTCGAACAAATTTCTGACTGTTCTAGATCAATGGCGGAGGTGGAGTTGGAAGTGCTGCCATCCAAATCGCTAGGAAAGTTTTGCAACTTCCCGTGGTGATTGCAACTGCATCCCGACCTGAGACCATGGAGTCATGCAGGAAAATGGGTGCCACCCATGTTGTGAATCATAGGGTGGATCTCGAGTCCCAGATCAAAGCCTTGAACCTGGGTGTCCCAATCAGGTACGTTCCGCACTCTCTTACTGTCGTTTTCTTTGCATCCCAAAAACTGACACTAATAATTCCAGGTACGTTTACGTGGTCGCAAGGACGGAGCAATATATCTACGCCCTGGGCAAAATCTGTGCACCCTTCGCCAAAGTTTGCTCAATCGTGCAAGCCAAGTTCGATCTCTATGGGACCGATTTTATGTCAAAGTCGATGACCTTCTCATGGGACTGGCTAGGCTCATCAGCCTATCATCGTACGAATCTGGAGAACTATCGCCGAATCTTTGGGGCCTTGGCCCGTTACATAGACGAGGGAAAGTTGGTACCAAACCTCAACAAACGTCTTAAGTTGAATCTTGCTGGACTGAAGGAAGCTCATCAGTTAATTGAGTCTGCAACCACTGTGGGAAAACTTGCTCTAGGGGTGGATGAGCCAGGCGAAGGGGCTCCATTTACTTAAGGTTGGATTGCTCCGTTGAACAAGGCTTCGCAATGGAGGACGGTATGTGATGGCGCATGCGGTCCGTCGAAAACCGAATTGCATGCTTCTTGATTGCGTATACATTGTGCTTTACTTCCTGGATGGAGTGGAAAGAAAACGGTGACTGACCACTTTACCGCTTTGTGTTTCTGGTATATATATATGAAAAAACAAAAGAAAAGGAAACAAGAAACATCCCAACCCCATTTTGTAATTCCTCCTGGGATTTATTTACGACCGCTTTGCAATTGCGCCTGGCGACTTCATTATGGGAATTAAGCGCGGAAGGAGAATGCAGGATGGCTGGTAATTAACCGGTGACTGGATGAGCGACAGTAGTAATGAGAGACGGTTAAAGTGATTGGAGATATTTAGTGGGGAAAATCAAAGAGGCACAACGAGAGAACGGGAGCTGAGCAAGGAAAAGGGAATGTGGTTGAGAGACAGAGAGTGCAATAGTGTGGAAGACCAGAAACCCCAACATCTAGCTATGTACTGGTACAGAAACAAGGTGTCCGCGGCTCCCGTCGGCCACCAATCTTCCGGCTCGGACCACTGGCTCGCCTTCTTGTATCATCCCCATACACGCCTATCTTCATACAATTATAAACTCCCAGCTCTGGGGCCTTTGAGACTCCCACAGCGCTCCTTCTCCCCGGGCTTCCAACCCTTATTTCTTTTACTGCCTCCTCGGTGGATTTCCTGGTATACGCGCGGCCTTGCGACAGCTTTTATCGCTCGACCAAACATGGCGCCGAGGAAGGATTTCAAGGCTAAGGCCCCGGCACAGCCAGTTCCCGAAAAACGGGAGTATGAGTTTGGTGGCCCGTGCGTCGTCCGAAGTATCGCATGCTTGAAACCCAGAATTGACATTCAACAGTCTCGGCGCGTTTGTATTCATTTTCGGCCTCTCAACTCTTATCTATAGCCTCACTTTCCTGTGTAACGATGTGTCCGGCTGTCCTGCTCCGTCGCTGCTTAATCCCGCATCGTTGTCCCTAGACAAGTTAAAGGAGGAGGTCGGTTGGCCACAAGAAGGTCTCAAAGCGTTCTTTGACATTCGGGTGACCCTGTGGGTGCTGAGTTATTACCTACTCAGTCTGGTTTTGTACGTGTTTCTACCAGGTGAGGTGGTTGAGGGCACGGAATTGGCCTGCAAGGGAAGGCTTCGCTACAAGTTCAATGGTATGAAACCTGAAACTGTTTTCTATATGGTATTGACTGACAGTATTATAGCCTTTCCTTCCGCCATTTTGATCCTCAGTGGTCTAGCCCTGGGCACATATGCGTATGGTGCTGACTTCATCGTATGGACTTATCTCTGGGATAACTACGTGCAGGTCATCACAGCAAACTTAATGATTTGCACAGCCCTCGCTGCCTTTGTTTATGTGAAAAGCTTCTCCGTCCCTGCACCTGGTCAACCCAACCCCGAGCTGAGAGAATTGGCACCAGGTGGTCACACTGGAAATGCCCTGTATGACTTCTTCATTGGCCGGGAGCTTAATCCTCGGGTGCAGTTGCCCATCCCCTTTGTTGATGAGGCCTCACGAACGATCGACATCAATGTATGGTGCGAAATGAGGCCGGGTCTGCTTGGGTGGATCATATTGAACTTGTCCAACATTGCCCGCCAATACAGGACGTACGGCTACATTACCAACTCCATCGTACTCTCTACCATATTCCAATCCTTCTATGTTCTGGATGGGCTGTATATGGAGCCAGCCGTGCTAACCACGATGGATGTTATTATGGATGGATTCGGTTACATGCTCTCCTTTGGACACCTGGTATGGGTACCGTTCATCTACAATATCCAAACCAGGTACCTTGCGGTTTTCCCCTTGGAATTGAGCTGGAAAGACATCCTTTTGATCTTGACTGTTACCGGCGCGGGGTACACGATTTTCCGCGGTGCCAACAATCAGAAGAACCTTTTCCGCAGGGATCCAAACGACCTACGCATGAAGCATATCAAGTACATCCAGACGTCTAGTGGCTCTAAACTAATGATTTCTGGCTGGTGGGGACTGGCGCGTCATATCAATTATTTGGGCGATTGGCTGATGTCATGGTCATATTCATTGCCCACCGGGGTTGCTGGCTACACCATAATTGAAAGCATCAATAGCAGTGGCAACGTGCAGAAGCAGGCCATACAGAATCCCGAAGTACGCGGGTGGGGAATGGTTTTCACCTATTTCTTCTTGCTTTATTTCGGTGTCCTCCTCATTCACCGGGAGGGACGTGATGAAGAAAAGTGCAAGAGGAAATATGGCGCTGACTGGCAGCGCTATACGTCTATTGTTCGCAGCCGCATCATTCCTGGTATCTACTAGTGTTTTAGGCCAACGATGCTATGCTGCAGCTAATCTGTATATATATCTTGGTACAGACGAGCTGGAGAACCTAGGGTTGTCTTAGGTTTACTATATCATGATAAAGTTTGTTAGAGCAAGTCACCTAGGGACAACTGCATAAGTTCCCGGTCTGCATAGTACGTATCCCACCCTACATCTCTTCGATTGCCAGGCCGGCATTGGGGAAGGTATGCCAGCTTTACCCTACTTGTGAACACAAAACATTTGCTCTAGTTTCTCACTTAGGAGAGCTTTCCGCAAAATCCTGTTGGGAGTTGGAACTCGCCCTTGTTGGTAATACTGTACAGGAGAATGAGGGAGTGATTCAAATGCTCCAGCAAACAAGAGTAGACCTTAGATTAAATAATATACAGAAATGGCGATATCTACTGATTTTCGTACTATTGACCAAACCCACCCCACATATCCCCACAATGAAAAGAAGCCGAGAAATGAAGCAAAGACGCGTTAGAATCAATCTAGTGACAGTCGACGGTTATACCGAGTGTCGACAGCAGGACTCGGTGACGTGGAAACTCTATGAAAGACATGGGAACTCTGCGGCCATTGTCTCACCCCATGTGTAATCTTCTTCAGTCCATAGTCGAAATTCAGGACGCATTGCACGGCACACCCCAGGGTCAGTACAGTAAGAACCAACGACACACTAGCAAACAGCAGCATCATACCATTGCTTACATTTGCATGTAGTGAGTCTCTCGCGAGTAGAATGATCCGGCTGAGCAGATACGTGATTAACCCGAGGAAACAGAGCTGATTTCCGTCAGTGACTAGTCTTGAAGATGGATATGGGAGGCCCACAATGATGAAACCCATGGCGATTTTAAGTTCCGCCTTCACACAATAAATGCCAAACACCATGACTAGTAATGAGGCGGGGATAAATGCCATAGTGAGAGAGTATTCTGGTTCCTTAAAATGAACGTCGATCAAGTCGTATTGGACAATGAATGCAACCAAGAAAAAGAAATCGAATTTGATCAGAACCAAGTAGACCTATCATATATTAGCCAGGACACGGGGAAGTGTATCAGATGTAAGTACCTCGTACGCTATATATCGCAATCTGAGTTCAGTATTACCCTGGATGCATTTATAAATGGCCCAGGCATAATCCTTGTGAAGCCGACACGAAGCAGGTACGAGGACGAGTGTGCCGATACCAAGCATGACTGGAACAGCAAGTTCCGCTGGTCGTATGTATATCCAGATATCCCTGGAGATGTCTACTAGGTGATCACCCATTCCGTCAGTAGAAGCTCGAACCGAATCGATGGCCCCTTCTAGTTTAGTGTATTGCAACACTGCATATACCGCAACGCAGATATTGCTGGCACATATGGCGAGAAGGCAGATGTTATTCTTGTGGTAGATTGCATCCAGAGAGAGAATTGCTTCGTAAATGCATGCGAAAGGCATGATGCCTATGCCAATGGGAACAACATAGGAGGTGGGAACCTGCGTTACATTGGGTTTGACCCAGGATTGCCACTGCACGAGAATGTATCTATTGCCGTGTGAGAATGGAATTGCTAGGTACCATACCAGCACTTACACTTCAAGGATAGCGACAAACAATGCTTGCATTAAAAGGGTACCACAGAACCAACACTCATTCCTGGTGAGCTTGTACATCTTCTTGGAATGCGAGCGCGATCACTGGACACGGAAAAATACAGAGGGTACAAAATTGATGATCAATAAAGTTAAATGTCACCTTTATCTGCCAGGCTAAACAGGTCAAAGCTTTTAGGTAGCATCAGCTATATTTAGGACGCCACCGCCCCAAAAAAGTTAGCGCGTTAGACATTGACAAAAACAATAATTAGTTAACTAACCCTTTAACCTGAGGAACAGACTACAGAGCAACTAGTAAACTTGCTAACTGGACAACAAGGCAACCAGTCAACTAGTCCGGCTCAACAATTTCGCAGCGCAGATATTTCCTAAGGCGTGGTAATTTACTATTGAAGTATGTTGTCCCACAGCTTATTCCCATTGTAGTAAGTGGACTGCCTTCGCAAAGAGGAGTTGACTGCAATTCTGATCCGCAACCTGTCCGACATCCCAGAGGCGGTCGCTTCGCCCTCTCGTACTAAACGTGTACCTTTACAGCAGAAATTTCAAAAACACGGGCTTCCTTCTTCAGTGGCAACTTACGCACTATGACTCTGTATTCTCCTGTCTCTCCTCATGTGCCCTCGTTGCTCACGGATTTAGCCTCCTTCCCCACCCCACCTTATTGAAACCATTTAGGATCCTGCTTCTGATCATCTCGTTGGCTGCTGAATCCCCACCAGGCGGACTATCCTCCTTTTAGGGCTCGGGGCGGCGTTTCCACTCCATCCCCTGCTGAAAAAGGAGCTTTGTGCTTGAGCTGATTTGACCTCGCCTCCGCTGGTGGAGCAAAGCGGGGGCGATTTTAACCTTTTTAACGGGTTTCATCCAATCCGTCGCTGCAAAATGTGCCATCTGAACTAAACATCAACACCCTCAGTGTTGGGCCTAAGGTGAAGGCGGCAACAATTCCAGCATCTAGGCGGAAGTATAGAGCTATAACTTCGCTCCAAAGCTTACGGCTACTAGGACATCTTA